GATATATTACCTTTCTCAGTACTGTATTCTAAAATCCTATGAAGGTATCATGAGCTCAAAAACAATAATTTAATTGATGAATATTAAAGACAAGGAAAAAAAACCCTCTTTTACTTTCAGTTTCTTCATTAAGAATTTCGAACAATGACCTTGCATTTGGGGATATGTTATCTCTTACATTTCTAACAAGGTGATTATGAATGTAATATGGTACCTCTTACAGAAGAGCACATTGTAGAATCCCAAATGTTGTACAAATGCTGACTAAATAAGTGAAATATTTCTTTGATATGGCTCCATCACCTGTTTGAATCTTGGTGTCTCATTTTTCCAGCATCATGTATTCAAATGTCTTTATGTGGCTTCCTGATTTAGCAAGGCCGTGCTGTCACAGTTGACCTTGTCTTCTTGGAGTGGTGACTAACCAGGTGGGCATATTTGGACCTCAACTCATGAAAAACTCACTTGCTATTTCATGCTCCTGTACTCAACAGAGAATTGTAAAGTGACTGATTTATCAATTTGGTGCACTTTAGTATAAATTTGGTAGCAGTTTCTTGGCTTACCCTTTTCCACAATTGCTTTTATTTTAAATTGAAACTTTACTGAGTGATATGTGAACATTACAAGTCCCATTGTATTAATTTTTGGTAAAGGTGAAGCACATAAATGATTAAATCTTCATGAGAGTGGTTGCACCTTTTTTTTTTTGTTTTTGTTTTTATTTGGTATTGGGGAATTGAACAAAGAGGTCCTTTACCACTGAGCTATATCATCAGTACTTTATATTTTTCATTTTGAGACAGGGTTTTGCTAAGTTGCTGAGTTTCTTGCGAAATTGCTGAAAGCGGCCTTGAATTTGAAATTGTGATCCTCTTGCTTCAGCTGCCTGAGTCCCTAGGATTATAGGAATGCACCACTGCACCCAGTTCAAATTGGCTTCTGTTTTGTCCAGTGCTTCAGATGTAAAACTAATGTTGATATAAATTTATTTTTCTATGAAAGTATGAGCATTTTTTTCTTAGGACAACTAATGTCTTTTATGATTCAATCATCAATCTGTGGTTTGTGAGTTTCTTGTGTTATCTATAAAACTGTCAGACTTTGTAAGAGGCCTTGTATTGCAAAGACTGTACATCCTAAGGTGGTTGCATATTACTTAGAAATAGGATGTAAAGTAAGAAGTTTCATATAAGACAAGTGTCTAGATCTCTGTGGGTCATCCTTTGCTTCCCTGGTATAAAACTTGTATTTTAAAAATAACAATGTCATTTTCCTCCCTAACAAACTAAATTAATATCTCTCCAGCTAAATATTCTTTTCAGTATGTAGCTATTTGGCTTCATATTGCCTTGAGCCCTGGATAATGGCCTGGAAGAGGGGAGAGACAGGAGTTTCCATTCTTAAATAATGAAACATTACAGCAGGCTTACCCCCATTTTTTTTTTCTATCTGGACTGTGAAAGAGTTGTTTTTTGCTGGAACAACAGAAAAGCCTGAATTCAACTGAGCAGGGGGTGCAGAAGTAGGCAAGAGATGCTAATAGCTCATTAATGCTGCTCCAGAGTTGGAAGAAGAGAACATTCTATTATCATTTCTATTACACAGGTTCAATGATTGAAGATGAACAAATCCAATAAAATTTCACTCTGAAATGCCACCTTTTTCTTTGTGGTTCTTAAACATTAATTTACAAAGAACATAATAGAAAATAATTATAGCATCCTCCAGAATAATTTGATGAAAAGTTACAGATAATGAGATAGTTTTTCACTCTTAAATTATAACTTCAAATTAGATCAGCAGTGACCTGAAGGCAATTCAGGTCGTTGTAAAATGAGTCTTTCATCCAATATCCCTTCAAGGCTTTGGTTTTCTTTCAAAGCTAATGTTTCTTCTGATTTCCTTCTGAATGAAAAAAAAAAAAAAAGCTGAGGATGAATGATGCTCATAGCTGAATTTTGTAAATATCTTCATATTACTTTTTCTTTAATATAGTTGAGCCTTACTGGTAGCTATTCTTAAAGACTTGAATTTAAAACAGAACATTTTAGTGGCATATCCTTAGAATTCTTTCATTTCAAACTCATTTTCCCAGGAAGTTGTTAAGCTGGCAAAACTGAGACCCCTTGTGACCCTCTTTTGTTTTTGCTTAATTCTTGTGTGTGTTGCTGCAGCCACAGGTCTTTTAGTCAGACTGTTGCTAACTTTGGTTGTGTGTGTATCTTGTCTCTGTGCTTATTCAAGGTTAGAGCTTTTTACAGAGATCCTTTGGAAATGTCCCACTCTTGGGCTATTTTGTTATTCTGGTAATACTAATATAGACTATTTTATCTACTTCTTTCTAGGTCCTTCTGAGAAATTGGAATATTTGGGAAATATATGATAACTCTTGTGTGATACTATTTTTTATGACAGCTTGGGATAGGATATTTAATATTCAACTTATTGCTAAACCCATGATGATGTATCCTCTCCTATGAGGCAAAAATATTATGTACTTAGGATTCAAAAAGATATGAAGTACATTCTAATCTCAAATAGTTTGAATTCATCAGAGGAATTTGAATTCATCTGTAACAAATGCATGAGTATATAAGTAAAAAAATCATGAGTTGAATAAAAACACACAAAAAAGGATTATTAGAATCATTGCAATATTATTCCAGGTTAATTGGCAAATAAATGATAGAGGCATTAGGTACATGGATCAGAATTTCTTTATTTTCATGAATCCGTGTTTGTCCAAGTTATCAATAAGTTTGACTAATGGATTGACAGGTAGAATAATGTGTCAACTACAGGGCAGGTGTAGCAGCAGCTTGGCCACTTTTATGCTCCTTTGTGGAATAACATAACATGCCACAGGAAAAAGAATGTATTGGTAAAAAGCTACAGAATCCTTGATCAGTCACGATTAAAACAAATGCAGTTCTTCTTTATATGTTTTTAAGCATTTTTAAAAAAGATCTGTTATTGCCATCTTTTGTGATTACTCACTGAACAAATATTAATTAGTGCCTAGTATATTTTGGGTAGCGTACTTAGTTAGAGATATAATGGTGAAGAAGATGGGCAATTTAGTCACCTTTATTGAGGATAAAGCCTAGGAGTAAATCAGACATTAAGTGGTAAACCTGAATCTAAACATATAAATATGTAAAATTCCCATTTAAAAATTCAATAAATATTGACTGAACACATACTCTGAGTCTGTGCTTGAAGTCCATAAATTTATAAAGAAGATCTGGGCTAGGGATATAGCTCAGTTGGTAGAGTGTTTGTGTAGCATGCACAAGGCCTGAGTTCAATCCTTAGTGCCTCCAAACATAAATAAATAAATAAAAGATCCCTCCCTATTTGGAGCTTTTATTTCTATTCTGGGAATGGGAGTAGACAAAAATATACAATATGTATATATGTATACTTATACATATACATAAACATACACACTATGTACACACACTGTGTACTTGAAGCTGATAAATGCTATGAGAAAGCAGGGAGAAGGGCAGTAGATAAGAAGGACTGAAACTGAGAAGGACTTTTAAATAGAACATGGTATACTGCTTTGAGAAAGTGACATTTGAGAAAGAAGTGAAGAATTAGCTATGTGAATATGTTGGGGAGAGAGAATGTTCTAGGCTCAAGGAACAAACAGTACAGTAACTTGATGGTAGCAGTTTGCTTTAATATTTGAGAGAAAACAAGGAGGTCATCATGGCTGGAGTATAATGAACAAGGGAAATTGGTTAGAGATGAAAGGAGAGAGGTGCCGTGAAGGGGTAGAGGATGTGGCTGCTAGTAGGCCTTTGTGATAGAGAGCCCTTAGAGAGAGCTGGGCATGACAGAGATGTGATCTGAGTGCTGCAATCTGAGCTGCATAGTTAGAGGATCATTCTGTCTGCAATGCTCTGACTTAACTTCATGGGGTTTGGCTTATTGGAGCAAGAAGTTCTATGAGGATATTATTGAAATCACTCATATAAAAAGTGACAGGGGGTTGGAGCAGGATAAAAATAATAGAAACAATGGAAAACAGTGAGAATAGGGGAACACAAACAAGATTTTCTAACAGATTGGATATAGGACCTAAGAAAAAGAAGACTCTTTTTTCCCCCCACTGAATAGATGGAAAGATATAATATTCATCCATACTGATGGAGAAGGCTGTGGGATGCCAGGTCGGGGAGTTGAAGGGGTGGACACCATCATTCACTTTTTATGTTTCTGAGTTTGAGATATTGTAGTTAGACACCCGACTGCAGATTCCAGTAGGCAGTTTAATAAACACATCTCTAGTGTTGGGAAGTGCTTCCAGTTGAAGATTCACAATGGATGGCATTTAAACTCCAAACTGAACCAGGTCACCCAGAGAATGAGCAGAGATAGACAAAAGACAGAACTGTGTCCTACTCTAACATTATAGTTGGGGAGAAGATGAAACACTAACGGAAAAGAGTAAGGAACAATGAATGAAGTAGGAGGAAAACCAAATGAGTGATAACACTGATTAAATGGTATAATGATTCATTGCTATAAAATAAGCCTTCAGATAAGGTAGTTCTTTAAATGGATTCCATTTATAACTGTAAAAAAAATTTTGTAGTTCCGATTTTCATGTGCCACCTTCCCACAACCATCTTCATTGTTGCCATCACTAACGGGCACTCCCTACAAAGGATTCACACGGAGAGCACCTGCTTCCTCTCTGTCACAAAATAATGTCAGAGGCAGACCTGGCTATATCAGGTTCCCTTCCTTTCCTCAGCCTCCTGGACGCCTGAAGAGTCATGTCTGAATCTGCGTCTCCTTGTGTTCATAGGACATTAAGCTTTGCAAAGGCTTTGGTTAATTTTAATCTGAGGGCTTTATGGTGCTTCTATTTTAAAACTTTGAAAATGTTCAGAAACTTTGTAACCACCAAGCTCCCATTCACAATTTATTTTTGACACTTTTGGTGTTCTTCAATTTGATGTTTTTTTTTTTTTTTCCTCCAGGCAGGGTAAACTCTGTAATGATGATTAACAAGAACTCTGTGACACTTACATGGACCTGGCAAAGAGCAGAACAGAACACACCTCTTTTCTCCAAGCACAATAATCTGAACAGATGAAAGTTCAAAGATTCAAAATTTTGTAACCAAGTGGACCTATTCCTCTGGATTTATTGAAAAGGGCAGGAAATACACCTAGATGGTACATAAGTCTTCCTTTTTTTTCCACTTTGCAATAGAGAATGAGGTAGTATGTGGCCAATGTACTGATGAGTCTCCAGACTATAGTCTTTTCCTGCTTCTTCCCTTGCTTTTTCTGAAGGGTCTGATTAAGTGTAATGATCTCACTCTTTCAAAGGTGGGGGGCATTTCCATCGACTTTCTTCTAAGAAGAATTCAGACTGTACATTGAATAAAAAAATATAATTAATCTCTTATAAATATTCACCCTGGACAAATGACTATTTTTAGTAACATAACATCTGATCATCCAGATGAGTTGAGGGTAATTGTGCTTTTCCTACCCTACCTATAAAGGTACCAGAGGAATACATAGGAAGATAATTTCTTACTGCTGTTAACTCTTTTGTAATATTTACATGGAAATCTCATAATGTATATCATAAATTGATGTTAGCATTCAATGAATCTAATAAACATCAATCTAATGTTTAACATACACCATTGGCAGATTATTACTATGAAAATATATTAAAAATACTCACTGATAATTAAAATCTGTAAGGAAAACATAAGCATTTACTGACTTTATTTAACTAAACCAATAATAATATCTAATCAGTGCTTTGTATACTCAAAAGAAATTGCATCTGCAAGTTCAATTCCTTTCTCTAGTCTCTATTATCAAGCACAATTTCAACCAAGAAAGAACTAAAGCTATTAGCTTCCACAAGCATGACTAATATGTTTCTATTACCATTAGATAGAGAAATATTGGGTTTATGGTGGATAAATCAGAAGGTCAGTCTTAGACATGTTAAGTTTGCCTTATCGTGGTATTTAGGCAGGAAGGTAAAGTCAGTAGTTAAGTAAATGGATTTGGATAATATAGAAGCTATCTGGATGAAAAATACATTTGAGTGCTATCTATTTATAGGTAGAGTTGAATCCATTAAATTGAATTATACCAATTCAATTAGAACTATATCAATATTAAGAAGAATAATGAATAAGAAGAAAATTAAGGACCAACCCTTGAAAATGAACTTGCTAAATAGATAAAGAATGAGAGGTCAGCTCAGTAGAGGAAGGCCATCCAGAGGGAAGAAGCAGGGGAGGGCAAGGAGAGATGCTGGCTAAAGAAATCAATCAAATTACAGTGAATCCCACTTTTGTGAATGTTATAATGCACCAATTAAAAAAAAAACAGAGGAGAGACCACTAGAGGAAAAGATAGAATAGGGGATCAGTGGTAATGAAGAAGGAAGGGAAAGGGAGGGGCTGGGAGTGAAATTATTCAAATTATGTTATGTGTATGTATGGATATTTCACTAATATATATAATTATAATGCACTAACAAAAAAACTTAAATAAAGAATGAGGGGTCAGGGAGAGAAGAGAAGATTATGTGTCTTATGCTTTGGAAACCAAAGGATATGCATCTTATAAGTGACATAAGATTAGGTCTAAAGTACTGAAATCATTCATTTCTTTCTTGAGCACCTACTACATGCCAGTCACTTGACTAGGTGAAAAGATAAAATGATGGTTCCCCAGTCGACCAGATTATAGCCTAGTGGGGCAGTCAGACCTTAAGTGGTCATAGTAATATGTGTGCAGTTATAAAATGAGGCACACACAGTTGAAAAGAGAAACACAGTGCCATCACAAAAAGGAGGCTATTGTGGACTATGGAGTCAGGGAATGATTTTTTTCTATTGAATCTACTCTTGAGCCGAAGAGAAGGCAAATAGGAGAAGGTGAAGGGTGGAGGAAAAAGCACGCCAGGTGGAAAAACCTTTGTGTCAAGAAGTAACATGAGAATGTTTGAAGGATTTAAAAAGACCACTATGGCAGAAGAGCAGAGATTGAGGTGGAAAGCAGGGACAGACGGGTCTTCAGAGAGCCATGAACCAAAATGATGAGGGCTTCAGTCATGTTTGTCATTCTGATCTTTATTCCAACAGCCATAGGAGACTGTGTATGCTCTTTAAACAGGCAGCTGTCAGCCAAGGAAACTGAAAAATGGAGACCAGGATCGTAGGAAGAAACACACACACAGTGACTAGTGTGGGAAGAAAGCAAGAGAAGAGAGTTCAAGAAAGGAGAGCACCAAATGAAAGGTCCCTGAAAAAGGTATGTGGACTTGGAGACGGGGTGACTGCCATCTGTCACAGAGCTACGTCATTGATATAAGTGATGCAGGAGTGAGAAATGGAGAAAATAGTACCCGTTTCTGTCTAGATTTAGGGTTAAGAAAATCCTATTTCTAGTTACCAAATCCATATAGAGTGATGTAACTCAGATATCCTCTCTTCCAAGGAATCTACTATCTCAGAGCATTAATAAGCAAACATGAATATATTGAAATCTCTGTAGCGTTCCTGAAGGATTTCCATCTCATATTGTATTGCAAACAACTAGAAATCCTGCTAGGATCTTTCACCAGTCCCTCCTCTGTACCTTGTTTCCAGGATCTCTCTTTACTTTCCTTAATCCCTGCAACAAATTAGTAAACCTAGCTACTTCCTGGGTCTTTCAGTTCAGCCCAACCTCTAACCCCAAATAGTATAACAGTATTCTGCAAATGGGAAGGACCTCCATCCAGCCAACCAGCTTAGAAGGCATTTTTTTAGTGATCATTTTTATTACTAATTATGATTTCAAGGCCTCCAATTCCAGAAAGAAGCAGAACAACCTCAATAATGGATTTTACAAATTCAGTTTTCCATCTTATCTATATAATATTATAATAATCTATCATAATTACATTTTATCTATAATAATAAATCTATAGTAAATTCACATTTGATCAATGGAGCTATTAACAGCCCTACCATTCCTCTTCTACCTGTTTGATTTGTTGATACATAGTTTGTTCTGCTTCTCAGTTGTAGATTCATTTCCAAAATAAGACAGTGCTCTATTCTCTCTGTTTCCAATAAATTCCACAGACACCTCTAATCATCAAGCACAATTTAATTCATCAAACATTTATAAAACCCAAGTATGTAGAAGATCTGAGTCATTAATAGGATTACAAAATGCTTGAAATCATAACCTTTAACTTGGAGGAATTTGGGTTTAACGCAACAACAGAAAAATAAGCAAATAAATTAGAGCCCAAGTGGCAAATGCTATATTTGTGTTTCAAAGCTTCTACTAATCTTTTATCCTTTTCTGGATTTGTGGAGGTACTTAGTATAACAATGGTCTGACTTTCTAGAAGTTGGAATATTACCAAAAGATTGTGTTTTAGTGGTTTTAATGCTTGTGGAAGAAAAACATTGTTTATTACTTAGGATGCCTTGATTTTTCCCAAAGTAAGGCTTTATACATACAGACAACAAAAACCAAACCAGAAATTGTTGATCAATAGTGGGATCTTGGGTTAGAATAGAACATTTTCATTATGTTCAAAATTACTATTGACTGCCAATCATCTGTTAGGTGCTGAGGAAAAAGCAGTGAGAAAATAGTTACCTACTTACACAGAACTTATATTCTAATGAGACAAATAGTAAACAAATAAGCAAGTTTATATAATAATAAAGAGTATGAATAAAACTCAGAAATAGGTGATAAGACATGATTTGGGAGGAGGCAGATTGGGCAGTTGGAGTCCTAGCTGAAAAAAATCATATTTTAACTGAGATCTGATTGACAAGAAGGATCAGGTTATATAAAGATGCAAGAGAATCCTATTCCAGGAAGGATAACAACTAGTGTAAAAACTCCAAATCAGAAATAGTTTGGTGTTCCAGAGAAACAAAAGCAACAAAGCTGCTTTCACCTAATGGAGGTCATAATGAAGTGGAGAGGGGGAGAGAAAGGGTCCAAGGATAAGGTATACCCTTCAATTTCATACCTGAAATGTAGGGAATAGGACAGGAAGTGTATGAAATGGGAATTGCAGGGGAAGGTAAAAAATAGATCCTGTGGAGTGTCTTAGGCCTCCATGAGAATTTTGGATGTTTATAGGTCCTGTGGGAAACTAAGTGAGGATTTTTAACCAGCAAAGAGGTCAAAGGATTGCATGAACAAATGTACCCTTTCACTCTATGTGGGAAATAAAAATAGGACTCTCTGTCATTAAAATCCACTAACTTTCCAAGAATTTCTGGTGGTCATCTACTGTGTTAGTCAACTTTCCACTGTGACAAAATATCTGAGAAAATCCACTTAAAGGAGAAAAGATTTATTCTGGCTCCTGGTTTCAGTCCGTGGTTGACTGACTTCTTTGCTATGAGTCTGCAGGGAGGGAGAACCTCATTGGTCAAGAGGGTGTGATGGAGCAAAGCTGCTTTCACCTAATGGAGGTCATAATAAAGTGGAGTGAGGGAGAGAAGGGGTCCAGGGATACCCTTCAATTTCATACCTGCAATATGACCCAGCTATAACAACTAGACCCTAGCACCTGAAGATGCCATCATCTCCTAATAGTCTGTTCCATTATGAACCCTCAGTAGATTAATTCACTGATAAGATTAGAGCCTTTGTAATCCAATCACTTCCCCCAAATGCCACTGCTGAACATTACTATAATGGGGACTAAGCCTTCAACACTTGAGCCTTTAGGGAGTATTCTATATCCAAACCATAACATCCACCCTTGTGGCTTGATAAAATGTTCACTTTAGAGGGATACAGAATGACTTCCTCATTGGTAACAAGCTGATACCAGATTGGCTTAAAGCCACTTTTTGTGAGGGCTTCACAGTGCTTTCCCAAAAGTTGAATGAGTGACATTTACCAATAATGGTTCAGGTATAAATTCACAGCTCTTCTGCAATATCTAAAATTTTGGAACCAATAGATCTTCAAGCTCACATGGGATGATTACTTGGACACAAGCACTTGCTCTTGTCTTCTGATAGGTAGACATTGCCTAGTTGTTCATAACTACTTTTATTTCTCTTGGATCCCTGAGGTTGAGGAGCAGTGTCCTTACACTTAGCCTGCTTTTCCATCATTTATATTAAGTGCTTAAACTGTCTAGGCATTTGAGTTTATGACCACATATTACTGCATTATTTAGTTTTGACTAGCAGATAAACTACTAAGTACAGAGTATTCTCAGTAATCTATTCTGTATGTTTTTCCATTTTTCCCATAACTGCCAAATATTTGTTCTTACTTTCTCTGCTTCCTGTTATTCAATCAATTTTCTTAGCCAATAACTATTGGAGGTAATAAATTACTGAATAGAAGGATGGTCAAGGTGGAAGAGGAACTAAGTGGGAAAACTGTGGCATATTAATAATGCTATAGTCTTTTATTCTCTTAAGTTGTATTAGGGCAATACTCAGGAATTTTAGGCTATAATCAGGAAGCAGAAATAACACTGTTTATTTTAACAGAGACAATTTAATATAAAGAATTGTTAATCAGGACTAGACTGATAGCATTGGATAATCACAATTAGATTGAATAACAACAAAGGAAAAGAATGAGCACCATAATGCCATGAACTTAGCCAGGGCAGGAAGTAATTAATTGCTCCTACAGTTACCCCATAATTGTTCCTATGGCTGAGGGGAAAAAAGGGAAGGGGCTGAAATTATGTGAAAGTTTTAATATTTAGAAGTTTAGAAGAGAGTCTTCAAGCCCATATTTCTCTGGAGGAGGTGACTCTCTGAGCTCAGGAGAAGGGGACTAAGCAAAGGGTTAGGACTGGCCTCTGTGGAGGGAATGCCAGTTCTTCACTGCTGGTGTTTCTAAGAGGGAAGTTGTTAGAGAAATGCAAATCAAAACTACTCTAAGATTTCATCTCACTCCAGTCAGAATGGCAGCTATCAAGAATACAAGCAACAGTAATAAGTGTTGGCGAGGATGTGGGGAAAAGGCACACTCATACATTGCTGGTGGGACTGCAAATTGCTATAACCAATCTGGAAAGTAAATAGAGACTCTTTAAAAAATTGGAATGGAACTATCATTTGACCCAGCTATCCCACTCCTTGGTTTATACCCAAAGGACTTAAAAACAGCATACTACAGTGATACAGCCACACCAGTGTTCATGGCAGCACAATTCACAATTGCTAAACTGTGGAACCAACCTAGATGTCCTTCAGTAGATGAATGGATAAAGAAACTATGGTATATATGCATAATGGAATATTACTCAGCAATAAAAGAGAATAAAATTATAGCATTTGCATGTAAATGGATGGAGTTGGACAATATCATGCTAAGCAAAGTAAGCGAATCCCCAAAAGCCAAAAGCTGAATGTTTTCTCTGATAAGTGGATGCTAATCCATAATGGGTGGGGGGATGAGTGAAGGAACTTTGGATTGAGCAAAAGGAAGGAAGGGAGGATGGGGGTAGGAAAGATAGTGGAATGAGATGGGCATCATTACCCTTGGTACATGTATGATTGAACGAATGGTGTGACCCTACTTTGTGTACAATCAGAGAGGTGAAAAACTGTGCTCCATTTGTATACAATGAATTGAAGAGCTTCCTACTGTCATGTATAACTTATTAGAACAAATAAATTTAAAAAAAATGAAGTGGGAATCAGAACTTAAGTCTAGTTGTCAAGAACTAATAAAGTTGGACCATCTGCCTGGGGGAATGCATAGTATTCTGTATATTCTTTTAAAGTCAGTTTCATATTGGTCTACCTATATCTCTGAAATCATCAGCCATATTTAAAGCTCCTAATCATCTCAACAGAAATTTTTTTCTTAGATATTTCCACTGTTCCCTGACAATCACTTGGCTTTAGCCTACAGTTAGAGTCAGTCCATGTTTCAGACAGAACAATCTCAAAATCATGTCAACGTTTTTTTTAGAAGAAAAGAACTTCAGACCAGTAACACAGATATGCAAGAGACAGGATTTGACCTTTATTTAAGTCTTAGTTTCTATTCTGAGTTTCTTTCTTCTTACTATTGTATCCTTCAGATAGAGCCCAGTGTCTGGCACAAAATAGCTATTCTATGAATATTTGTTAAATTAAGGCATGCTAAGAATAGCCACACTTGAAATATTAGCCACCAAAACTGGTTTAAACTAGGTAGTTTGATTTTCTCTGTAATTATTATAGTAAAAATACAGTGATAGTAGTAAGAAATTTAGGAGAATAAGTGTTCTTTCTTGATAGTGTCACAGGGAGAATAAATGACCTCAATGAATCTTATCTTTTTATCTGGAAGCAATTCTGAATTTACTAGCTTACCATTTTCTTTGTCCTAGAAGTACTAATTACTGTGAACTTCACATTTTAAAAGATTCCCTCTGTCTTCCCCTCCTGCCCTATGTAATTTGGGATTTTATGTAAATAACACCGACAAGGAACAAACTGCAGTACTCTGCAGACATTTGTTAGGATAAAGATATTGTGTTTGCATTTATGAAAACACAGCTACAATCTTCAACAGACTTTATAATAACAGTATTTACATAACTAAATACATCAGGGACCTCATTAAATGGCATGAGAAGGAATCAGAGCTGAAAGCCTGTGCTGGCCATTTCCCTAACCAGGAATTAGTTACAAGATGATAAAGCATTGTTTGCCAACTCTAAAAGGTTTTCATGACTAAAGGGACTACCTTCTTCTTTTTTTTCCTTTCCTCTGTGATTTAGAAAGGAAGGAGTAAAAAGACAAAGAAGAAAAGTGTAAAATTTGATATCTTACTATTATGGCCTTGTATCTTGAATGATAGAGAGTTTCATTGTTTTTGTTATTCTTTATAAAGATGTTACAATAGACCTGCATTTTAGACTTTATAGTGTTTGTGAGAAATCTCTTTATCACCCTGAACTTTTTTCAGAAATCATCTTATTTTCTCCTTACAAACCCCATTTTATGTACAGAAACTTAATCTCCATCAGTTCAGGACTTTCTTGCCCAAACCAGGACTATGGCTGTGTTTGAATAGTACCAAGCCACTGAGTGCTGTCGGCGTTACAACCATTCCTCCTGGCTGGTATCACTCCACAAAGGCCCCAGTGATGGTTCTTCTCCCCTCTGGCCCTGATTATTCAGACCAGGTAAGTGGCTGCTGGGTTATCTCCCATTCCCAGTAGTATGCATGGTCCCCTTCCCCTTGGAGCTTCCAAGAGCATTTGGGAAATAAGAGAACTTAGACAATAACACAAGTAATTGTAAAATTTGTGACTGTGATGAGTACTGCGATGACAAAAAGGGAAAGGTGCTGAGAAAAAAATAGAAAAGCAACGTCTAGAAAAGGTTGGGGATAGAGTAATGCTTTCTTGAGGAAATGACCATTGATTTGAGGTCTGAGGAGGAGTGGAAACTAGTTATGGAAAAACAAGTTGTGAACAGAGGGGAGAACACATTCTAAGGTCTGTGAAAGAGGCCCATTTGAGAAACTAGAAGAGGTGGGATGTGACTGGAGCGTGAGAGTAAAAACAGAACGCTAAGGGCAGAGTTGTACACAGGCCTTGGTGGTGGTGTTCATGATTGTGGGTTTTATCTTCAGCCCAATGGAAGATGACTGTTTTAATCATATGATATGTGTGGGGCTACAAAATATGGCTAAATTTGCTTTTTAAACAATGTTAGGTGTGTAAAGCCAATTAAAGGGGATGAAATATGTGTCTGAAGAAAACAAGGATGGCCACAACATAAGCTAGGATAACTTGAGCTACTGGGAATGAAGACAAGTGACAGATATTGCTGGAGTTCAGTTGCTGACTTGGTGATATGAATATACTGGGGGGCTTGGAGATGAGTGAGGGTCAACAATGACTCTCAGTTTTTCTAGAACAAGATGGGAGGAATGGATCTATTTGACAGATCAAGTTTAAGGATTAATACCACATGTCTGTTTCTCTCTATGCTGGATTTGAGTTGAGGTTGAGACAACCAGGTACACATGTTAAGAATGTAGATGATTGTGAGGCTCTCAAATTCATGAGTATAGCTCTTGAATGCCTGTTGATTCTCGACCATTACTTTCCTGAGCTACGGAAAATGAGATCATCTAAATGTTCATTATTATTTTTGGCATAGACATATGCACATATATCCATACTACAAGTTATAATTTGCATATGTATTCCCCAAAGGTCTGTGTGTTAGAGGCTTGGTCACCAGCCTGTGGCACCATTTGGAAGTGGTGGAATCTTTAAGAGGTGTGTCCTAGTTGAAGGATGTCAGGTCCTTAAGGGTGTGTCCCTGAAGGGCTTGTTGAGGTCCTGGCCCCTTCATGTCTGTCTCTTGGTTTCCCATCCATAATGTGATTAGTTGGCCTCCTCTGCTGTTTGTTCCTACTATGGATATAGTGTGCTCCACAGATTCAAAGCAATAGGGTCAAGTGACCATGGACTGAAACCTCTGGAACAATCAGCCAAAATAAACCTTTCCTTCCTATAATTTGTTTATCACAGATATTTTGTTATTGTGATGGAAAGCTTCCTTTTAGTTCTCCTGATGATATTCAGTAACTAATCTTCAAATGCTTAAATTCAATAATGAATAAATATTTTAGGAAAGCATAAGAAGCCACACAGTATCTTGGGGACAATAAAGAAGTTTCATGCCTATAAGAAATATTTAACTTACATAAAAAGATTTTCAAAGTCATATATAAAATTTCCCACAATGAAATGAGTATTATTTAATTTGTTAGTTCATTGATAAGAGCATATTGAAGAAAGGGGGAAATATTTCATGGAATTAAAAATATATGCATAATAAAACATGATTTGGAGTTCATAATTTCAATTATGGAAGAAATTCAAAACTATCATTTATCATCATTCGTTAGAGTGTGATTTTGTGCTTGGTTTTTATTGTTTATTTTTTAAAAACATTTTTTTATTGATTTAAAAAAATAAATAACAGCAGAATGTATTACAATTCTTATTACACATGTATACCACAATCTTTCGTATCTCTGTTTGTATATGAAGTATTTTGACACCCCAATTCATGTCTTCATAGATGTACTTTGGATAATGATGTCCATCACATTCTACCATCCTTGCTAATCCCCTACCCCCTCCCTTTCCCTACCACACCTCTTCCCTATTTAGAATTCATCTAATCCTCCCATTCTCTCCCTCCCTACCCCACTATGAGTTAGCCTTCTTACATCAGGGAAAACATTCAGCATTTGTTTTTCGGGGATTTGCATTATCTTCTCCAACCCTATCCATTTACCTGCAAATGCCATGATTTTTTTCTTTTATTGCTGAGTAATATTCTATTGTGTATATATGCCACATTTTTTAAATCCATTCATCCACTAAAGGGCATCTAGGTTGGCTCCACAGTTTAGCTATTGTGAATTGTGCTGCTATAAACATTGATGTGGCTGTGTTCCTGTAGCATACTGTTTTTAAGTCCTTTGGGTATAGTCTGAGGAGAGAGATAGCTGGGTCAAATGATGGTTCATTCCCAGATTTACATTTCTAGATTGCTAGAGATGATGAGAATTTTTTCATATATTTGTTGATTGATTGTATATCCTCTTCTGAGAAGTGTCTCTTTAGGTCCTTTGCCCATTTGTTGATTTAGTTATTTGTTTTTTTGGTGCTCAGCTATTTGAGTTCTTTATGTACCCTAGAGATTAGTGCTCTATCTGATGTGTAAGGGGTAAAAATTTGCTCCCAGGATGTGGGCTCTCTGTTCACCTCACAGATTGCTTCTTTTGCTGAGAAGAAACTTTTTAGTTTCATTCCATTCCATTTATTGATTCTTGGTTTTAATTCTTGTTCTATAGGAGTCTTAATTAAACCAGAGACTCTGCATCTAATAGAAGAAAAAATAGGTCCTAATCTTCATCATGTGGGAAAAAACAGTTTTTATATGTAATGACATAGATATTTAAACCTCACAAATCTTATTTACAGAAAGTTGCTTGTCCTGAATTCTACTTACGATGGAGCAAGAGGGATCCGATTTACTTTCCCATCAAAACAACTAAAAAACAAGAAAAGAAACAAACAGTGGTTTTTATGATGTTGGATGTCAGAAAATGATAGAAAATGATCCCTAAGATTCAAGAATAAATGACATGAACCTTGCAACTGTTCCACGTTATAGCCTTGAGAGAGTTTTTATGACACAGACCAGAAGAGGAAACCTAGACAAACTGCATTGTCTTCCTGAGTTAAGGAAGTAGAGCTGAGGCTCAGGAAAGCCAAAAGGTCTGGAGTGATGGAGTGAAGAAAGCTGCACAGAGAGAGATCTCCAGAGAGCAACAGAAGGCCCCTTGATACTTAGCAGAGTGCTAGGCAGAGGTTATAGTTGAGGAAACTACCTGATGCTATCAAAAGAACCACTCAAAGGGATATTTCATAGGGCTAGGAGTGGTTTCTATTCCCATCAGCCAGATGTATCCTTGATGCAGTTTTTCCATCTTTTGGTTTTGATAAAAATCTAGTCTATATTTTATGAAAATCTGAATATGCTTTTATCTTATTAACATGGTGAAGGAGATGATTATAGCACTTTAAGAAAATAAATATATATTGTTCTTTATAATTCTTCTTTATCTTCATCCATCTGTTTCACCTCTTAAATTTTTTTTCTCTTTTAACTACTTATTTTCCTTTACTTCCTCCTTTATAAGGATCCTTAATATCTCTTATTTGCTATGGTTTATGTCTTGGCCATTGATTTAAACTGAAATGTAAGATATTCCCAACCTATATTCTCCACACTTAACAAGTTCTTTGTGTCCAAGTGACAAAAATATGAAATAGTGATTCCATTTTACTTACAATCTTTATCCTGTCTTGCAGAAGAAAGCCACAACAATGCTTCAGTAGCATAATAGGAATGGCTCTTGAAAAACTAAAGCCAGTGAAATGTGTTTAATCAGATAGTAGGTAGGATATCTCATGCCTGTTCTCATTCAAAGAAATAGTAATTACTAAAGCCTATGGAAGAAACAAAATAAGGTGGTTTCTATTATTACAGACAGAAAAAAATATTGTAAACATCCTTTCTGGAATTTATTTTCACAAAAATCTTCATAATATATACTCAACGAATCTCCCAATCTTTTCCCCCATTATTCTCTTTCAGCTGGACACAGTGGTGGCACACCTATAATCCCAGTGATTTGGGAGGCTGAAGGCAGGAGGATCACAAATTCAAAGCCAGCTTCAGCAACTTAGTGAGGCCCTTAGCAACCTAATGAGACCCTGCCTGAAAATCAAAGATAAAAAGGACTCAGTGTTTAAGCTTCCCTGGGATCAATCCCAGTACAATCAATCAATCGATATTTACAAAGGCCTAATTCTCCTTCACTGTGCTTAATACCCATTGATTAGTTGAATAACCAAGTTCAATTTTTACCTTTCTTGCAAGATTTTTACCTTCCAGATGATTCAATAAGAGCACAGGTCCTATACCTGCCAGAGCAACAAAGGACACATCCTTCTTACCATACTTTAACCAATTTGTCTCTATTTCTATCTTACTGTCTCAAATGGTGCTCTATATTTCATCTCTGGTTCATTTCTGCCAATCCTAGCTTTCTTTCCCAGAGACACCTTCAACTGTATCAGACTCATTCATATTTACAATGCAGTAATCCACATGTTTATGCATTATACTTCACAAAGTTGATCTCAAGACCAGGACAACAAATAGTGGAGATAAAGAAGTCATTGATGATTGGCAACAGGGAGACTAAGAAGGCATGTGCTTGTGGTAGCCATCATGTCATGTGATCCTAGAGAAAAAGTTCGAACTATTTGTAGTACCTTGTTTTGGGAGAACTTATCCATCTAGTGAATAAATCAATCCCTTCAAATCTTTAGTAAAAACATGCTCACCATGTGGACATGAAAAGTGAAAAAGGTATACCTCGAGCAATTGCATTTTTGTGCAATTAAAATTGAAAATAAAAATTTGATCTTTTAAAATAACAAATTCAAGCAAGAACAAAGTTCATTAGAGATGGTTTTGAAATTAACATTAAGAAATTTCAGTTGCTTTTAAACTTCTAATGATGATTTTCACAGCAATTTGGCTTAAAAAATATAACCATTTGTTTTGACTCATTTCCTCTGACTTATATTTTATTTGGAGATTTGTAAACTCTAAACATTGTTCTGAATTGTACTATAAGATGTATAATTGATGATGACTATGATGACTATGAAGTGGATCCTGTTTTATGAACAGTTTTACCTAAGACAAAACATCCAAAGATAGATATTATATATAAATGATGTTTTGATTAGCATGAAAAAGTAATTACCTAATTTGTTTATGATTTTTTCCTTGGGGTAATATTTTACAAATTTCATAAAAACAAGCAAAAATGGGTGAATTTGGAAAGAAAACAAAGTAGAAGTCTATCAAAGCTCATGGTACTGGAACTTCTTTCATAGTCAGTGGAGAATCCCAACTGCCATTAAGATCTGTATTTGAGTATCTGAGTGAAGGCTCATAGCACTAGAAAGTGAGGTGAAGGGATACATTTTCTCTCAGCTCATTAGCAAAGGGATTTGGTAAGCAATGTCATTGGCGTGCAAGGTAGGAATTATGGTTGTATGGTTAATAAAATACAGAACACTTGCACATCTCTTGGGAGAAAACTTGAATTTTAAAAACAAGGGTCTTACTGTCAGAATTTTAAAGAAACACAAATGGTTATTAGTAAGCACACAAATTTATAATATATATTTTTTCTGCAAGTGATCTTAATAACAAATATGCCTTTTATGAGGGGTATGACTGTTAGGTTCAAAAATGAGGAAATATTCCTATTAAAATTTTAGCCTGGAAAGATGAATCTTGGAATTATTCACATATTTTCTTGTCATTCTGCAGGAGAGGCCTTGATTAAGGCCTAAGAAACAGAAGTTCACACATTTAGTTAATGGCAGTCAGAACTCGAACCCAAGGCTGAATTCAAGCCAATGATTTTTAGCTTTTCACACTTCAACAATAGAACCAGAATTATTTGGTAATCTCAAGGTAAGAAGCAGTGGGAAGCCCTGGCAGAAAGCTGTTTTGATTTAGAAACACTGATTGCTGCTCTGGTTTGAATTGTGCAGTAGCCCACATGCATTTCTCATAGGCACAAGCTAATCAGGACCAACTATAAGCCCTGCAATCTCAGGTGACAGACAGACACAGTTGTAGATCAGAAGGACACTTCTCCTGACACCAGAATTATCTCTCTGTTGAAAATCAGCCAGAGATTTTTTTTTCTGATTTTGTGAAATGAAATAGAGGTAAATCTTTCATTTTAAACGTAGTCGTATGAGTAAAGGTAGAAGAACTATTTCACAAAGAAGAAAAGACAGTGGGATAGTGTGGTCTTCAGGACAATGGTGAAATAGAGTTTATTCAGGGTGGTGTTTGGTGATTCCTAGGAGACAATGAAAAGGAGGATTTGTATGTAGCAATCCTCTGTTGTATTAACCACATCTCGGAAACCTATTCATTTCATGGGATCGTTTTGGAATATTTGAAACCTGCTCTTACCTAGACTCACAAACCCCCCTGGTTCCAATAATGGTATGTTGGATCACAAGAGCTGAGGGTCTTGTTAAGATCAGCATTGCTTTCCTGTTACTGGATTCCTTATCCCCTGTCTTGCTCCATTCCTCAATTAAAATCACTATTCTCATTGCTCTAGAGTGGACTTTCTAAATGGAAAGAAAAAGATGATTACCACTTGAGTAATGCTTTGTGATCCAATGATAAAAGCCAGGCCCTGTCTGAAAACTTTCCCAACTCCCATTTCTCTGCTACACTTCCTGTCTTGGTGCTAGCTTTATCTTGCTTTCAGGCCTTTGCAAATGTAGGTGCCATTCTCTAACCTATACCTTCATTTTCTCAAGCTCTACCAAGCTCTCTCATTTCTCTACAGGCTGGTTTATTTATTATTTTCTTTTTTTTAAGCCCTATGGGTAACAATGCTAAAGATACACAAACTTCCAAAAGTCTATTAAAATTCTAATGGACTGATATTACATTTTTAATATTTTTGATATGATTTTAATTGGAACTTTCAGAAAAGGAGAAAACCTGGGACCTACAAATGTCTTATTGCGGTCTTGCTTAAGTTGGGGCTGGGTAAAGCCCTTCTCCATATCCCCACAATGATTTAAAACTACCTTCAGCAGAGCTCTTATCACATCATTTTGTTATTTTAGACATTTATACAACTATCTGAATTAATTACACTGTTACATTCTTGCAGAGAGACTATATTCCTAATTCCTGGCTCATTATTAGATTTTCACTAATGTTTGATAAATTATCTTGAATTTCACAAATATTACATCTAAGCACAGAAGTCCTACATACAATAATAAGGAAAGGAAACCTGAACCTGCAGATAGCAAGGAACAGCAAACAGCCCAGGAGTCGCCCAGCCCCCCAACAGTGGTGTGTGTGGAGGAGCAGTGGCAGGGAAGAGACAAAGAAGTCTAGAAGCACCTATTTTCCTGTCATTTTTGACAGGAAAAGTTTTCATAGGTGATTAGGCAAATGGGGCTGGTATTGTGTCAATGGGAGAAATATTAAGTCTTTCACTGTTTTGTTTTTAGTAGCAGATACTACTACTCAAGACAACACTTGAAATTTTTTTATTAGGAAAGCAACTTCCTTCTACATAAATATCCATGCTAAGCATTTTACCAGGGAGTAACAAACACATGTGACACCATACATCTGAAATACACCCATTGATGGTGTTTTGCTCTTTTGTGAAATGTTCACCTCAAGTTACTAAAAGGTCATTCAAAACTTCTATGATATGTTATACTATTATTAAATATGTATGCAGTCCTATAACATTTCTAAGGAAAGCAAGTTAGCAGGAATGATACTTGAACATTATTCCCAGAATAATCTCTTCATCAATTCTGGACTGAATTTCACCATTAAGTGCTCTGTCATCTATTCATATTTGTTAGAAGAGAGTTTGACATTTATCCTTCTTTTCCTTCTTAAGGGATTCTTTACTGCTTGTCAACTAAGATAAAAATGTGACAAGACATGACCTTTCTGTGATCTGAAAACTATATTGCTATATGAGAACATGAATTGGGAAAGCTCTTGTAAGCTTTCTTTTTACTTGCTTTCCCAAGTGATGTTTGAAATGAAGGGAAGAGGACAAAATATACAAAAATGCCATGGCTTTAAATAAAATGTGAAATTATTTGACACCGATATTGCCCTAGGTCAGCTTCTTTTTACAGTTCCACAAATTTACCTGTCTTCATACATTGTTTTTACCAATGATAAAAAATTTAAATACAACTAACCTTGTTTAACTACTTCCTCACATAACTCTGTATTCAAATTGGTAAAATATAACAGTAAAAGTTTTACCCTTTTGCATTATCAAATTCAAATTATATGTTTTTGGAAATAAGAATATTGTTCCCAGGGAGTTTTTCCACTAACTAAAAAAAATGTACTCTTGTGTACTTTTGTACACAAATATGTGCTAACACTTAGTAGAACCTTACAATTTATAGAAAAAAAGACTGTGTTCCATAAATTTGTAACTTAGTTGATAATTTGTTAATTAAAACAGTATTAAATGAAGTGATTGGTTCTCCCCAAGAGAACCATAAAGTCTCAATTAACCTATAATTTAACAAACCATAGATAATGCATTTAACCTCATCAGCATTAAGAACACAGGAACTCCACTTTTCTTCTTGGCTGCTGTTGTCTGGTTCTGTCTTCCAAATTCTTATTTCTGTACTTCTACTTACAAATAAGCAGACTTCTCACAGGAGTCCCAAAACTATTTTCTTAAAATTCTCTGTATGTCTTTAGATAGCTTTTCCACAAACAACCTAAACACATGTTGAAGTCTTATTTTCTATTTTTGCTCTTTATATGTGTTCTTCCAGATCACATTCCATCAAGTCCCTAAAGTCCAAACCTCGTAACCTTCCTCTCACACTTCCTTAATGCCCAAAGTCACTAGATCCCATTCACCCTTTCTCAAGGAATCTTTCAAACCCATCTGATTTTTCCTATCTCTAATTCTACTGGCTAATTCAGGCTGTGGTTTGACAGTTCCTATATCATAGTGCCAGATCTCCCATTCCCTAAGTCCGCCTCTCCGAGGTCTGTTTCCCACAACACTAGCACAGTGTAATCCAATTTATGAGTGTGGTTTGAAAGAACAGAACATGTCTTTTGTAACTATAGTACTTTTTCTCTTAATGAACAATTGTTTATAGTTCAACATTCACTTTAAAACCTCTAAAATACTTACAGATGACTTATGTTGAAATAGAGGAAGTTATTCCATATTTTTATTTAATTTCTTCACCAAGTGATGTATAGAAAGAAAGATATCACTAATTTCCCTTTAAAAATAATTATTTTTCTTTTGATGTATTTTAATTGAAATCATAGCTTTATTTTGACACTAAGCTGTTGATTAATTTTGGTACTTGCAGTGTATGGGCAAGTATCATAATTTGTTTTCAGCTAAATTAAAAGTATTGGGGATCCAACATGGCGGCAAGTGGGGAGGCAGCGCTTTCAGTACCTCCTCAACAACGGGGTCAGAGAGACGCATGGATACGCTTAGATTCGACCTGCTGAGAAACTCCTAGCAAAATTCCACTAAAGAGAGACCTGCCGGGAATTGGAAGGATTTTTGGAGGTGACAGTTTGCCCTAGACGAGTGAATCTCCGCCACGCAGCGCAGAGGTCCAGACCCGCCAGCTGCTGCCCGCGCGACTCGGTGACTGTCGGCTGCCTGCACGCGGCCCCGCGTCAGGGTGGATAGCCTCCAAGGCGCAGCGCAGCAGGAGCGGTGCAGGGACTCTAGGAAGAGGTCTCTCGCCAAGCCTTCATGAAATAGCGAACCGGGAGCTGAAACCAACCAGAGACAGACCAGTCCCACCCCTCCCTTCGGACACTCCGGCAAGGAGCCTGGGGCCCGCCATAGCAGAGAGGTGACATCACCAGAGTTCCGCCGACAGAATTCCTTCCCAGCGGAATCCAGGTTAGCAGGTGTGTGACTCCCAAAACCTCCAGATACAAGCAGCCAGGAAACCTCGGGAATCTCTCTGGGGGCGTGTCTGTAGGGAAGCAGAGGGGATTCCAGATCCCCACCTCCCCTTAACACCAGCGGTGACACCCAAGATCTTAGCCG